CTGTCTAGGGGGCAGAAGTGCCTTGTTACTGTTTCCCACATGGCCTCTGCAAGCACTACCTGGTATGGAAAGGAGGGTGCTTCTTCATTGCTGCTTTTAGAGTAGATCCAGCTCTCCATTTGCTCTCCAGTCATATCAAGGTGTGGAGGGAGAATGAGGGTCTTATTACCACAAATTGAGGATGAAAGTTCCAACTTCTGCTATTCTGAGATGCTATTCTGGAGGAGGGTTGGGACACCTTGTCGCGGCCTGGCAGGTGTAAATATCTAAAGATCTAAGCTCTCCACTTGAGGTGATAGTGTTTTCTGTGGTATTTGGCTATGATAGAGTGATTACTGTCTAAACGTTTTCTGCTTTGGTAGACTATTTCCTTGACTTTTGGCTAAAATAATAGGCTTTGTTGGGAAATTCTCATATGTGCCTGTTAGTATTTCTATATTGAACGCATTTTCAACTAAAAGTCTGCAAATTATAAAGTGAAAAAAAAAAAAACTTAGAGAATTCTTCACTATACAATTTATTGAGTCCCTACCACATCTGCCTTGGTCTCTCCAGGTCTGAGTTGTCATATATTTTATACATAATGTTCAGGGTTTACAGTTGTTCTTAGTAGAAGGAATATAGGGCAAGCTACATTTACTCCATTTTTCTGGAAGCAGACATTGGTTTACTTTCTGTAAGAAAGCAGTCGGTGAATTTCTGTCCAAATTCTCTGCCTTTTCAAGAGGAACTGGGCTTTACTTCCCAGATTCACATCTGAGCAACAATAGACTTACAGGTGGCATTAGTATATAGGTAGAGAATAGGCTGAATATTAAATGTTAAGGAGCAGAATCGTTGGAATTGAAATGAAGGAGACTTCGTTTTTATTCATGTTAACCAGCCTCCTGATGATATGCAACAGTGCATTTGTTCATCAATATACCTTTTGCACGACCTTTCTGCTTCTTTTTTGAATGGTTCTAATGCTAAAGAAAGTAAATGTTTATCAAATAATCTATCTTTTAGATAATTCATTATTATAAGTTAATTCATTATTAGAAAGATAATTTATTACTAGAAGATAATTCATTATTAGAAAGAAAGAACAAAACGAGCCTTTTCTAACAAAAGAGTAAATAAACAAATGTATTGAACTTTTGTTGTATATCATGTAGGGTAATTTTATATACATGTTGCATTTTACAAGAATTAAATCATGTAATTTTGTATACATCATGTAGGGTAATTTTATATACATTTTATATACATTAAGCATTTAATTCTTGTACGTAGCCCTCTGCCTTAGCCAATTCAAGCTGCTATTAACAAAATATCTTACCTTGGATAATTTATAAATAATACAAATGTATTTCTCATAGCTCTGGATTCTGGAAAGTTGAAGACTGAGATGGTACCAGATTCGGGGTTGGGTGAGAGCCCATTCCAAACAGACAATTTCTCCTGGTTTCTCTCTCATGAGGCAGAAGTGTGAAAGAAGGATGAACATTGAGTCCTTACATGTCAAAAGAGATGGAACAGCTCAGCAGCCTTTGGGAGCCTCTTTTTGTAGGGAAATTGATCCCATTCACGAAAGTAGAGTCCACATGACTTAGTCGCTTCCCCCAAAGACTCCATCTCTTAATACTATTGCATAGGGAATTAAGTTTCAACATAGGGAATTAAGTTTCAACATAAATTTATTTTGTAGAGACATAAACATTCAAACTAGAGCATTCTGTCCCTGGTCATTCCCCCAAATATATGGTCTTCTCACATACTAAATACATTTATTTCATCTCCAAAATCCCCAAAGTCTTAACTTATTCCAGCATCCACTTTAGAATCTAAATCCAAAGTCTCATCTAAATATCATCAAAATCAGATATGGTGTGGCCAGTTTTCTAATACTGAACCATCTTTAACGTCCTCATCCTCTTTCAACATGGTTTATTATTCTTTTAGCATCCTGTTCATTTGTTTATGTACTATTGAATAGTTTCCCTAGCAGAGTATCCTTGTTGTCCTATATATGTTGTTTAATGAAACTCACAATAAATTCAGAAACTTGTTTCCTGTACTTAAAACATTTAAATAAGAATTATGTGCTTTTAATGATAAAATTTAGATATTAAAATTTCCTGTATTCAATGACATTGGAAGTGATAATGAGAGGTGTTTGGAGATAGTTACCTATCAAATTCTTTTGCTTCTTAGGGTTATTTTCTATCCAACTTTCCCTCAGCATCTTGAGTTAAATTTGGCAGTCTATGTTATCTGACAATAATACTGATATTGCTGGAATTTTCACAACAAGAACAGAGTTTTACTCAAATTTCTTGCCCTTTAAAATACATTATGCTGCACCTTTTACGAAATCCACTTAAGTTTTTATAAAGAATGGTGAAGGACTTAGGGAGGAAGAGAAATGAGCAATGAGAAAAGAGGAGAAAAGAGAATAGTGAGTTTTATGGACAAGAGATCTAGAACTACATTTATGCCCCTAGAAACCAGGATTAATAGTTGTGGAAATTTTAAGAATTCCCCAGCACCTGCAACTCCCTCTCGTTTGTTATATATTCCTTGTTTTCCTAAAGTTACAAGAATATCAATGAAAGATGTGAAAATAATTTTAAGAATTTGCATTTGTGCTATGCAATCTAGGACAGAAGAGGAGCAATGAAACTCTTTCCCTTCGGCAGCTAGCTTTATTAAGATAAAGGAGGAGGGAAGCCTGATGGAAGCACCAGTGAACAGGAGTCCCAGATATTCTTAGATTGTATTAATGGCCCTCAAATTCCAGACTCCGAAACACCCACAAAGAGAAGCAACAATCAGAAATTGCATGCTGTTAGTATTTTATTGGTATACTGAAGAAAGAGTTATGACCACATTATTTCAATGTAATGGCTTTCTGAAGGAAGTTATCTTCTTATTTATTTTCTGAAACAAACAAACAAATAAGGAAATTTATACACAAGATACAACATAGCAAAATGTATCTAATTCCTTGATGGTATTAGTAAAGTAAATTATTGCTTTCAAGATTAAGAAAACAGATTATTTTTATGGTGTTTATGTTTTGGCTACTGTTCAAAACATTCAAGGTTATATTTATGAAAATGACTGCAACTTGAACCTACAGTAGTGAAAAACTAATACAGACCTACATCTCAATTAACAGTGGTTGATTGAAGAAATCATGGTACAGTCACACAAGAGAGTAGTATACAATTGTAACAACAAAATAAAAATGTACAAATAAATCACCAAGAAGATCTATATGTCTCTGTGAAATGACAAAGTTATCTAAGACATATATTATTTGAAATAAGCAAGTACAGATCTGCATTTAAAATAATATATCACTTGTGGGAAAAATAATGACATACGCTTATATACATATACATATTTCCAGGAGGATGTTCAAAAAATTAATGGTGGTGACATTTGGTGAGGGGTGTGGGTAAGTAGGATAAGGCATCACTTTAAGATTTAGCTTCATACCATTCTATTCAGTTAGATTTTTTTTTCCTTGAGGATGTACTAATTTCAAAATAAGTATTTTAAAAATTAAATAAGATATAGAAGCATCAAGTTCAAGTATCATTTAGCAGGGACACTGGACCTGAGAGGCTGGTGTGAGGCAGAACTGAGCAAAGAGTGTTGTGGTGGAAACCAGAGAGAAACCTGAGATGGAGAGTCCTTGGGTCTGAGAGGGCAGACTCAAAGACGGGAGGCAGAGCACCAAAGGGAGAACACACCCCACTTCCTCATTACCAACTCATTTTAAGGAGACAACTCATCTTAAGAAAAAAGTTGGAGAGGTCAATATTTCATAAGATAAGAATTCTTTGAACTGCTTGTTAAAAATACAAGGACTTGCAACCTTATCCAAGAATACCTGAATACAAATCTTTAGAAATGGGGTTCAGGATTATGTAATTTCAACATATTTCCAATTGATTTGTGAACACAGTAAAGTTTGAGAACAGTAACAGTTTGGGCATTTAATGGAGAATGAACTGGAATCATACCTGTCGTTGAATTCTAGATTACTACCAGCGTGGCTGGTCCTGGAGATGTCTTGGCGGTTTGTCCCCCTGGAAGAATGCTGGTACTTCCTCCAGCCTTACAGGAGGAAGTCGGGGTAGAGGGCGGTGAAGGTCTGTTCGTTGGGGTCGTCGTCGTTGATTTTGAAAAGGAAGTGGGAGAGGATAGCGGTGATGGCCTCCTGGTTGTGGTGGTCTCTGCTGAGGACCATCGTCTTGGTTACAGCTATCACCAGGGAGTCTGGGTAGGAGTCCTTCAGGAGGAGGTCTCTGGGGTCCCTGATCTGGGCTCTGACTTGAGTCCTCTACATCTGTGTGAGTAATTAATGGACAGGAATGCATGAGCTCAGTGAAGAAAAGCTCTCCTCTCTTTATACTTCTCTCACCTTATCACATAGCCCTGTTCTCCCCAAACCTGCCGCTTGACTGTCATCTTCCTTTGTGCCCACTGTTTTTTTTCTTTTTTCCCTTTTTATGCAGCTGTCCTCTTAATCCATGTAAGAGTGATATGGAAAGTCTCATTTATTTGCTCCTGTGACAAGTATGTTTCCATAAATTTTGAAGAGGGGTTCTTGCATATCTTAGAGTTGCCAGAGGGTATCTCCAAGGACAGAAAAAAAAGCAAAAATATTATAGCTTTCAGTTATGTTGCTGGTTATTTTTTTTGGTTGCTGTAATAACTTACAAACTGTGACTCCATCTCTCGGCACCTAAGCCCTATGCAGAAACTAGAGCTGATTTCCCAGGCTCCTGGAACCAAGCAGAGAAATACTAAGAGACAGAAGAGAAAGACAATGTGAAAGCTTGCACAGGATCACTAAACAGCTGTGGCAAGAATTTATCATCTGTAGTGACACAGCTGAGTGGGTCAACACAGAGAAAAGACATTCATGCACTGTTTTTTGTTTTGTTTTGTTTTGCCTTACTCCCTAAAGCCACATAACTGTGCAGGAGAACACTGGGGAAGAAAGAAGGAGTTAAGGATGGAGGAGTCAGAATGAGAACACTTCTCATTTGTTCATCATCTCTCAGCAGTCATTCTAGCCTGGGAAAAAAGCCTGCCCACTCCTAATGTCCTCAAAGCCAGGCATCTCTGTATTCAAGTTGGTGGCCTGGCTCATGGTCCCCAGAATCAAAGATGGGTAAGAATTGTCTATATATTTAGGGGCACTAGTATTAATCAATACCTGACCCCTCTTACCACCTCCTCACAAAAAAAAAAAAAAAATGAGAAGAAGACACTGAAAAAACTTTAAAAAATTCTAGTGGAAAAAAAGAGAAAAGAAATGGATTGAGGATCATTGGGATTTACCTGGTGAGGTGAGAGTAAAGTCTTCAGAGATCACATCTAGGAAAAGAAGTACAGGATGAAGTAAACATTTCCTCATAAATCTTTCAGGGCTCACAAGTGGCCTATAGGGAAAGGGGTCTTCTGGCCACACCCTGTGCATCCTAAGTTACCTTGTCAACCATCTTCTGTGAAGCTACTGGAAGGGGAGGAAGATGTTAGGGGAGGCAGGATTGTTACTACCACTGAGCATCAACCATGAAGTCAACATAGAAGAGTCCCTTTTTGTCATCCTTAGGATCCCTCAAACCCTAATGCTAATTTAGGCAAACTGCTCTGGGTGTTTTCAAGTCATATTTTAGTCTTCTACCTTATTCCTTCTCTAAATATTTTGATCATACTCACAAGCTTCCCCAAGAGGAGCAACCAGGAGTAAATATTTGGACACAATCATGTACATGTACTGCCAGCAACATATTGAAATTTTAAATGTGATTGGAAGAAAATGGGAATTTGGGGACCTGATATTTCTATACCACTATGTAGAAACACACAAATTTATCTTCCAGTCCTCTATGTCTGAAAGTACTCTGATGTTTGTTTATCTCTTTCATCGATGTTGCATCCCCTGTACAGCAAGGACACTATCATCACTGTCCACTGAGATTACTGTAGGATCTTCACAGCTGGACTTCCCTGGATCAGTCTTGCATTCTCCATTGCATCCTTCACAGCACAGCCAGGTCTTTCTAAAAATACAAATCTTACTTTGTCATTCCTCTAAGTGAAATTCTCTATTTGGTTCCAAGTGTATATTAAATAAAGTATCAGGCCTTGGGATGGAATGAGGGGCACAACAGATGTCATCCTTGGAATGAGAGCTCTGAAGCCTTACCCTTCTTCTCAACCTCCTTCCTTCCATCCTGCTCTTCCTCTGCAGTGGTGTGGGGTGAACCCCTGAGGGCCAGGAAGAGTCACAGCCCGTCATCCCACTCCCCATCTCCTTTTTAAAATAATTTTTTTTACCATTATCTGTGCTCTGAGCTGAGCTCAGAGCCAGCAGGACCACTGACAGCAGGACCAGCAGCATCTTGAAGGAGGCTCTGGAGTTGCTCCCAACTCTGTGCTGAGAGAAACATGGCAGCTCCCTTTATAAACATGAGCAGAACAATGGCACCTTTGAACTCCATACTGGGTGGACCTCACCACTTGAAAGATTAGGTTTTGCTTTCCTCTCATAAAGTTGAATGCATCTCTTATTACTTTTTGGGACTTTAGCCCAGCAGGATGTGGTGGTAGGATGTGGTTAGGTACAACCTGTGACTTCAGCATAGTTTCTGAAGGAACAGTATCCAAGCAATCAGCACAAATACTGCAGCTGAAGTTTGGTCATCATTTTATTTTCAATCAGGTTAGACAGTTATTTGGTCCTTCCCCTGCATTGGTTGTCTGTGTGCACATGAGCTCACATTTATATATGTGTGTCAGCAGTGATCCTATAGTCGGAAGTGAAAATGATTAATATCTCTAGCTATTTGTATAGCATAAATTCCATTTTTATGGCATATATACCTATGTGGATGACATGTAGCTTCATTTCATAATAATATAGAGATCATGTCTGTTTAATGTTGAGTTGTGTGAGGACAAAACACACTTGGGCACACATGGATGACAGATGGTTTACCCTCAGGCTACTCTGGCCCAAAGAGATTAAGATTCTCCTAATCTAGCACTAACCAGAGATACTTTATTGTTGTAGAACACACATATTAAAACATTCTATCTTTATTAATATCCTGGGGGTTAGTAAAGCAAAACTGGCCACAGAAAGCACCATTAGATTTCCGCACAGAATAGTGTGAATACACAGTTCCTTGAACAAGCCATGCTATTTTATGTCCCTAAGACTTCTTCCATGGTCTTTCTCTCTTCTGGAATGTTCTGTAAGATTCAGTTTAGATCTTACTTCTGGTACTAAATACTTTAATCACGCTAACTGATTATTGAGTGGACACAATAATACAATCTAATTAGATAGTATCATAGTCTGTTGAAAGCCTCAAGTATTGCATTGATTTTCTATTTTTTAATTAGTTTCCATGCTATTTGCTTCTCAGATTGCCTTCACCAAAGATTATTTTCTCTGTAATATTATTATACTCATTCTTCTTCACTCTTGTGCTGAACCTTACTTGTTGATACGTTATATTGTGAATCAATCCTCTCTATGCCTATGTTTTATATCTGGCTGCTTTCTTCATGCGTTCTGGTAGAAATCTTTATTTAATTTTCTAAACAAGGTTCTATACTTTTCTTCACTTGCTTTCTTCATTTTTGTTTTTAAAATTTGGCACCAAGATACTGTGTTTCCAAAAGGTTTTGTAGGGTCCTGTATTGGTAGCTCAATCTTCATCTGCTGATTTTTCTGTTCTATCTAGTGGTTTTCCACTTATATTTTCATGGAACAGCTAGATCAGTCAGTATCACCAGCTGCCACTTTTCATTACAGGCCTTGTGTAGGTCTTGTATTTTTTTCACATTTTTGTACAGGGCTAGTGATAATTTGAGGATAGCTTGGTTGTAAGTATGACAGGGTCAGGGGAATGTGACTGGAAATCTTAAAAACAGGCCTCTTGACCATTGTGGATGAGTGGATCATGTGCTGTGCAGATGAAGATCTGGTCTGGCTCTTCTGAAGTGTTGGAGGTAATATTACAGGAATATTTTCTAATCAATGGTGTTTGTTATGGATAACTTTACTTTGGCAAGGTGACCAACAAATAAATATTTTCTCTGTCATAATTATGGATATATTTTGAAGGTGAAATATATTATGAGTTAGCAATTCTTCTCTGTGTGGGAAGCAGAAGAGTTCTAGCTGTGCTTTATGGATTTTATGGATTAGAGAGAGTAGTTGTTTGGCTCTACAGATCCAGCTGTGTTACTGAGATTGCTGTCTCTGATTTCACCAGACACCGTTTAACGTGGGAACTGGAGATAAGCAGTCCTGCCTAGGTGGTTCCCAGTAGACCATCAGCTAGGAAAGGAAGGTCAGGTAGAAGGAGCAGAGGGGAGTGCCAGGCAGACATGATTCACTGTGTGGGTGGCTGTGCCTCAGTAGGATAGGGCACTGGTCAGAGTCATGAAGCCCTGATTCCAGACTCTAGCTCCCAGATGACATTTCTAGATACACACTGATCTGGAAGGAAACCTACTGCATTGAAGGGAAGAGCCAAGTCATGGAAGAACCAATCACCTGCTGACTAAAGAGCACTTGGGCCTTGAATAACCTGCAGTGATATCCAGGTAGTATGGTGTGGGCCTTGAGTGAGACTCTGAGATGTGCTGGTTTCAAGTGAGACCCAACACATTCCTAGCTGTGGGTGGGTATGGTCAGAGACTCTCCTGCCTGAGGAAAGCAGAGAGAAAAAGTAAAGGGGACTTTGTCTTGAACCTTAGGTACCAGGTCAGCCACAGAGGGGTATAATAGCAAGTGGGCTATTGGGGTCCCCAATTCCAGGCCCTGGCTCTTGGACAGCATTTCTGGACCTGCTCTGGGCCAGAGGGGGAGCCCACCCCTATGAAAGGTGAGTCCTAGATCAGGCAGCATTATTCACCAGAGGCTGAATGAAGAGCCCATGGTCCTTAAGTGAATATCAATGGTAGCCTGAGCGTATTCCCAAAGGCCTGTGGTGATGGTGGCCATGGGGTAAGGTGCCTCTGCATATGAAAAGGGAAGATTAGAATGGGAAGAATTGCGTCTCCTGGCCTGAGTGCTAGTTTAGCAGCAGTAAAACAGAACGCAAGGTAAATTTCCAAAATTTTGGACTCTGGTCCCTGACTCCTGGACAGCATCTTTGGACCTGCCTGAGGCTAGGGGATCTTGCTGCTATGAAGAGAAGCACATAAGCCTATCCGTAAACCCAAAAGCAGTACTAAGAAGGCCGATTATTGCTATATGTGCCTACATCAAAAAAAAAAAAAAAAAAAACACTAGCATAGAAACAGACATTTTTGGACTGTGAGCCTGGCCTCTATGAATCATCACTTCAGCTCCTGATTGGTCATGGGCCAAAGTCCTGGGCCAAGCTTTCACTTCATCTCCTGATAGGTCCCAGAGCAAGCTGAATCATCACAGCCTCTTATGAATCATCACTTCAGCCTCTGATTGGTCCCAGGCCAAGGCCCTGAGCCAAGCTTAGTCACAAGTTCTCCAAGACAGCCCATGGGCTAAGCACATTCCTTCCCCTTCCTAGTCCATAAATACCCTGGACCCCAGCCTCATATAGGGCAACCCATTTGGGCTCCCCTCTCTGCTGACAGAGAACTTTCTTCTTTTGCTTATTAAACTTATGCTTTAACCTCACACTTGTGTCTGCACTTCTCAATCATCTTGGACATAGGACAAAGAACTCCAGATACTATCTCAGACAATGAGAGACTGTTACATCTTGGTGCATTGACAAGACTACAACATTGACAACAAGAAAACTTTGGGGAAACTCTCCAGAACACCAGAGCGGGCAAAGATTTCTTGAGTAATACCTCAGGAGCACTGGCAACCAAAGCAAAAGTGAATAAATGGGATCACATCAAGTTAAAAAGCTTTTTTTCACAACAAAGAAAACAATTAACAAAATGACGAGACATTTCACAAATATTTGCAAACTATCCATCTGACAAAGGATTAATAACCAGAATATATAAGGAGCTCAAACAACTGTATAGGAAAAAAATCTAACAATGCAATTTGAAAAATAGGCAAAATATTTGAATAGACTTTTCTCAAAAGAAGACATACAAGTGGCAAACAGACATATGAAAAGGTGCTCAACATTATCAATAATCAGAGTAATGCAAAATAAAACTACAGTGAGATATCTTTTCACCCCAGTTAAAATGGCTTTTATGCAAAAGACAGGCAACAACAAATGCTGGTGAGAATGTGTAGAAAAGGATACTTTTATGCACTGCTTGTGGGAATGTAAATTAGTATAACCACTATGGAGAACAGTTTGGCAGTTCCTCAAATAGCTAAAAATAGAGCTACCATGCGATCCAGCAATTCCACTGCTAGGTATATAACCAAAAGAAAGGAAATCAATATATCAAATAGATACCTGCACTCCCAAGTTTACTGCAGCACTATGCATAATAGCCAAGATTTGGAAGCAACCTAAGTGTCATCAACAGATGAATGAATAAAGAAAATGTGGTACATGTACACAGTGGAATATTATTCACCCATAAAAAGCGTGACATCCTGTCATTTACAACAACATAGATGCAACTGGAGGAGACTATGTTAAGTGAAATAAGCTAGGAACTGAAAGACAAACATTGCATGTTCCTTCTTACCTGTGGGAGCTAAAAATTACAACAATTGAACCCATGGAGATAGATAATATAAGCATGGTAACCAGAGGCCTGGAAGAATTGACTGGGGTAGGGGTATTGGGGTAAAAGTGGAGACTGGTAATGGGTACAAAAATAGTTAAAAATATGAATAAGACCTAGTTTTTACTAGCACAATGGGGTTACAGTAGTACACAATAATTTAATTGTACATTTAAAAACAACTACAAGAGTATAATTGGATTGTTTGAAACACAAAGAGTAATTGCTTGAGGTGACGGATACCCCATTTGTCGTGTTGTAATTATTGTATATTACACGCCTGTATCAAAATATCTCATATAACCCATAAATACATACACCTACTATGTACCCCTAAAATTAAAATTTAAAAAAAACTTCAAAGATAAAAATTGTTAAAAGAAGAGAAAACCATCCAGTCATATATAAGGGAATGATCACCAGACCAACAGATAATTTATCAACAGAAAGTTTATAGGCTGGAGAGAATAGTATGGAATATTCAAAGTTCTGGAAGAAACATTTTCAGTCATACATACTATACCCAGAAATGTTATCATTCATAAATAAAGGGGAAATAAAATCTTTCACAGAAAATCAAAAGCTGAGGGAATTTATCAGCATTAGACTAACCTTATAACAAATGCTCAAGGGAGTTCTACATCTGGAAGCAAGCAGATGATAATCACTATTTTGAAAACATACAAATACTGTTAGAGAAGACACACAAAGAAGAAAGAGA